TCTGAGAGAAGTAGGGATGCTGTAAAACAAGTATACAACACCGAAGTCTTAGTTTCAAAAGAATTTGGAGTCAGCTAACATGAATTCCACACATGAAATTGGAGATAGAGAACAGACTGTAATCTAATTTTATTTTACCATTCGACTTATGCGTATTGCCAGAGGAAGAATATCATCCTTTTCGTTGAGATCATTACCAGCCTCACTAGCATCAGCAGGTTTACTAATCAAATGATGGTATAAATTAACTGTCAGGTCATCAGAGTATTCCATTTCCTCTTCCAATTTATCCTTTTGAAGTATGGACGTGATTCCTCCCTTCTATAACAAGAAATAACAAAACCATATTGACTAAGTTGGCAACTTAAAACAAAATTTCTATCATGAATGTGCCTAAATAAAACAAGTATTGTACCTTAGACACTATCTTGAGATTGTGGTGTAGCAATCTCAACATCCTTATAGCCCACCTGGAGGAGCTAGCAAGATAGCTACAATGAACAAATTTTTGCTGCAGGAGATGTTGGCATTCCTGTTCACAAATAACAAAGCAGGAAGCAAAAAAGTTAATAAAGGTCCAACCTTGTGTGTGCAGATGTTGCACATATATTTTTTAGTTTCTATCTACCCTGACTAGCTCCCTTTTATCGTGAATCTCTTCTTCAAATTTCTTAAGCATCTTGATTTTCTGGTGGCAGTCGTCACAGGGACAAACACTCCCAAAATCAGATTCTTGTGGAAAGATAACATTAGTTACTATTTCCTCTTGTAGATCTAGAAAATCGTCATCCGAGTCTTCTTCCATCGTGCTTAAAATTATACTACCTCAGTTCTCTTCTAATCGCAACATTAGACTTTTTCCACTATTCATATGTTCTACTTTGACTATATTTTATTTATTAATATATTATACATTAAATTTTTTAAAAATATTGTTAAATTCTTCTCATTCTAAATTTTCAAAATATAAATTTTTAAAATTTTTTACTAAAAAGGAATGAAAGATATTGATGGTCAAACTTGTGCATTGGCAAACGTGAAATGTTGACTGTTGCAATTAAAAGAGAACGGATGAAGTACTTTGGAGAGGAGGTGGATAAATGAACCTCAGTTACATAACGGGAAGGACGTGTCTGCAACCCATAAAAAAAAGTGCTTTTAACTTTTTTTTAAGAAAAAAACACTTATTTTATCAAACACTACCAACTTTTACTTTCTCGGCTTCCGTGTAGAATCTACTTTTTACTTTTTCTATTACACAAAAAACACTTATTTTAGCAAACACTACCAACTTTTACTACTAATTTCTTTTTTCTCAAAAGTGATTTTATTTAAGCAGAAGTAGTTGCAAACAAGCCGTAGAAAGACACAACCGGAATGTAGATACTCGATAAGATGTAAGGAGGGGAGAGGAGCAACTTCAGGGCTGGCCCTTGGCCTAAAATCTTGTTAAAATATTTAGGCCTAATATGTAGTGTTTGACTGTTTGTATTAACTGGATTAACCAAATTAAGTAAAATTTACTACCTCCCTCCAAATTTGATGGTACCATTTCTCTCTCCATTGGTCAACACAAATCACTCTTAATCTCTTATTTTATGTATTAAATTTTAATCAAATTTAGTCCAGGTGTTTGCGACTTTGTAAAGTTTTTAATGTAGTTTCTAAATATGTAATTTTTTTCTTCTAAAAATAATTTGAGTGTGAACAGAGATCCGTTTGATTTATTGTCAGTCAAACTTCGTAAACTGCAATGGTATCATCAAATTGGGATGAAGGTAGTATATCATTTCTTTTTAAATAAAAGTGACTTTTATATTAATATTACGAGAATTTACCCAAAATAGGACTAAAAATGTTTGAAAATTCCAAAATAGGACTGCCAAGTTTTTATTCCCAAAATAGGACTAATTATTGCCATGTTTTGGCAGTACCAGGCTTCAAACATGGCAGTATTTTTCAAACTTGGCAGTATTTACTCCTATTTTGGGAATAAAAACATGGCAGACCTATTTTGGAATTTTCAAACTGTTTTAGTCCTATTTCGGGAACTTTCCCCAATATTATTAAACCTAGGGATGTTCGTCGATTCGATTTGGTCGATTTTCGGTTTCATCAGTCCGTTTTGGTTGGTTTCGATTTTAGAAAAGGTGAAACCGTAAATCGAACCATACTACTTGAGTCGGTTTGGGTTCGGTTAATTTCGGTCGGTTTCGATCGGTTTTAACATGTTTTTGTTGGTTTTTGTCAATCGGTTTCGATTCGGTCGGTTTTTTAACCCTAAAGGTGAAATCGTAAATCGAACTTCCAATGATTAATCAGTTGGAGTTAGTTTCGGTTTGAGTCAGTTTCGGTTTAGGTCGGTTCGGTTTCGTTCGGTTCGTCGGTCGGTTTTTGGTTTTTTGTTCACCCCTAACGAAATCATACATGACAGTTACAACATGGGGTAATTTGACTTTGCACCCGGTTTTCAAAAATCTTTGTTTTTGCACCTCAATCCCATATGAAAAGACAAAAATACTCTCGATCAAGAATATGTTGAAAGTCAACATAAGTGTTAATGGAGGGGCATTTTTGCGTTCGATACGCTTCCCCGAAACTTGGCCATGGCATCTTCCACTTTATATATATTCTCCACGGAAACTTTTATAAGGGATATAACCCCTATGCCACACAATGGCTGTAGACCCCCCAAAAAACGACGTGTGTAGAAATCAAAAGTGAACCTATATCAAGAGAAATAGAAGATTCACTAATATACTAAATCAAAATTTTTATGGTTCGAGCCGGTAAGGACTTAAACAATCGAAAACGGATGAAATAGCATCGGAGTCTTTTCATATGGGGTTGGGGTGCAAAAACAAAGATTTTTTAAAATAGGGTGCAAAGTCCAATTTAGACAATAAAATAGGGTGCAAACTCAAATTATCCCTTACAACATATCTCATCGTAACCTCTAGAAATAGACATATAATCAATCACTTTATATAAAGCAACATGACTCGTTAGACACGAAATGAGCAACCTTAAGCCTAAAACAACTACAATTGAAACATTGTGTATCAAAAGAATTTCAAAATCTGAATATTCAAATCAAACCAACTCAAACAAAAACAAAAAACAAAGGGTTTAATGCACCAAACCCCCCTGTGATATGGAAATTCGGCGCATTAGCCCCTTATGATTTAAAAAATGTGTCAAACCCCCTTGTGTTTTAATTAATTATGCGCAAAATTCCTTCTATAAACAAATTCAAATGTCAAATAAAAGAAAAATGGTTAACATTTTTGTGTGATTGAGAGATATTAACATATTTACTTGCATGTTCAATCAAAATATTAGGAAAAGTAATTTCCAAAACATTAAATTTATTCATAAAAGGGGTTATATGCATGATTAATTAAAACACAAGGGAGTTTGACACATTTTTCAAATCACAAGGGGCTAATACTCCAAAAACAAATACTAACTAAAGAATAAATTATGCTTGGGAAAAATCTTTTCACAAAACTCTTCATGGCACGGAGGTGATTCCGAAGGAAATCGAGCTGTTGCAATATTAGTAACACTAGATTCTTGTTCATACTTTGTTATGAAAAGACGTGGAAATAGGTTGATACAAAAACGATCTTTATGCTTCTTCCATTCTCTACACAGCCCAAAAGATGACATATAAAAAACCACTAAACATGCGAAGCTGGTCGGAACACCATAGCAACTCTCCACACTGAGGGAGACAAAACGCACTGGAGCATCAGGGCTCAGGAAAGAACCGTTATAGAACAAAATAAAAACAATATCAAAAGAACAACATTTAAGTTGGATCATACTCCTATCAAAAGTTTCCAAGAATGGTGTTACTTTCAGCCTAGCCCGAGAGAGAAAGACAGAAATACAGTCCTCCTCTTCGCAATTGCCCACTGATCCTGGTTGTGTAGGGAGTTTCCACCTTCTTTCTTGGAAGTTGCCAAGAGACATATAACACCTTCTAGGAAGGAGCTATCAAACACATGAACATGGAAGGAGATATGGAGATAACTAGGAAGCTTGGATGCAACTTCCTCTTGTCTCCAACCTAGCCTATAAATAGAGTGTTCTATTGTTGTTCATATCATCAGTTTAGAAAGTGAGAAAAGTGTGTGAAGAGTGAAATACACTTAGAGTAGAAGTGTATTGGTGAGGATTGGTTTTTTGTAATAGTTGAGTGTGAGAGTTTGCTCCTCCTATTGTAATTCTGTTCTTGATATTGAATAGAAGAATTTTCCAATCCCAACAAGTGGTATCAGAGCGAGGTTGAGTTTTCATAGACTGTTTTCTCATTTTCAGATAAATTTCTACAGGTTAGAAAATCGTGATTTTTCAAGTTGCTCGGAATCACGATCTGATCATACCGTTAGATTCGTCTCGTCGAGACGAGAAATCTGGTATTTTTGGGGAATTTTTTGGCCACCGGAAGAGGCCGTACGCGCCGCCCAAACGCGCCGGAAAACTGCCTGCGTCATCATTGCGTCATCACGCAGTCTAGAGGAAGAAGACGAGCCACGTCAGCGCCACGTCAGCGCCACGTCAGTCCACGTAAGCGCCATGTCAGCCGCCACGTCATCCGTGTAAGCCATCCTCTGGGGTGCCACGTCAGCGCCAGCGCAGTCCAGCTGTTGCCACGTCATCCGCCTGCTGGTCTGCCCACTGGTTTGCTGCTTGAACCGGACCGAACCGGTTCGAAGTTGTGGAGGCCGGTTCACCCATTTCCAGACCGGTTTTGGACGAGGTCAGACCAGTTCCTACCATTTTCGGCCATTCCGGATCCAACGGTGAGCTCCGTTTGTCCAAATTCAGCTCCGAAAATAAGGTACGAGATATTTTGAGCGTTTTATTATGGATAAATCATCATCGGACACCATGATTGCGCTCACTTCCACAAATTACAATATGTGGAAGCCTCGGATGGAGGATTTGCTAAATTTGAGGGATTTAGCTGATCCTCTTGATAATAATGGTGTGAAACCGGATAAAAAGACGGATGAAGAATGGACATAAATGAATAGAAAAACTGTCGCACAAATTCGGAAGTGGATCGATCATAGTGTGTTCCACCATGTTGCGCAAGAACAAAGTGCTTACACACTATGGGAGAAGCTTGGTAGCATGTATCAAGCAAAAACCGCCCGAAATAAGACATTACTAATGAGGAGATTAGTAAACCACAAGTTACGAGGAGGTATTTCGGTGTCAGAACACACCAGTCAATTCCAGGATCTTGTGAATCAGTTGAGCACCACCGGATGGGTTCTCAAAGATGAAGAGCAGGCGATACTACTCTTGAGCTCTCTACCTGACAGCTGGGAGACTCTTGTTGTCACTCTCAGCAATTCTGCCCCCAATGGCAAAGTGACTATGCAGATGGTCACAGATGCCCTTATGAACGAAGAAGCCCGAAGAAAAGAAGCCGGGACTGAACAATCATATGCCTTCGTGTCAGAAACCAACAGACGAGGGGGAGGCAGAAATGGAGGAAGAAGTCGAGGTCGAGGTAGAGGCCAAGGTCAAAACAGAGGAAATTCTCAAGTTCGCGGCCGATCACAAGAACGAGGTATGTCCTGTGAAAACAATACTTGGTTTGAAGGATATTGCAACTATTGTGGTAATTATGGGCATAGAAAAAGAGATTGTAGAAAGTTTCTACGAGAGCAGCCACAGACGAGTCAAAATACTAGCCAAGAAGATGGTGTGACTATGGTTAGTTTGTCATCAGATGCGTGTCTTGTTACACATGGTGAACAAGAATGTTTACACGTAGGTACTCATGATGTTTAGTGGGTGATTGATACAGCCGCATCATTTCACGCCACTCCACACCAGAACTTATTCACATCTTATAAGTCAGGAGACTTTGGAGCTGTGAAGATGGGAAACACCAGTTTCTCGAAGATTGTTGGCATTGGTGATGTGCACATAAAAACCAATGTCGGATGTGCACTTGTGTTAAAATATGTTCGACACGTTCTGGATCTTAGATTGAATCTTATCTCCGGTACAGCTCTGGATCAACAAGGATATCTTAACAGATTCAAAGAAGGTACGTGGAAGTTATCTAAAGGTTCCTTGGTTGTTGCAAGAGGCCATATTTGTGGTACTCTTTATAAAACTCATGCAAAGTTGTGTCATCCGAGTCTCAATGCTGTTGAAGAAGAGATATCACCAACCTTGTGGCACCGGAGGCTAGGCCACTTGAGCGTGAAGGGATTGACAACTCTTGCAAAGAAGAAAGTCATTTCCATGGGCAAAGGTGTTGCCCTAGATCCATGCGAGCACTGTCTATTCGGGAAACAACACAGGGTTTCCTTCAGCTCTACAAGAAAGAACCATTCAGAGTTACTCAGTCTTGTACACTCTGATGTATGCAGACCCATTGAAGAGGAGTCACTTGGAGGAAGCAGATATTTCGTGACATTCATTGATGATGCATCACGAAAGGTATGGGCTTATTGTTTGAAGAGTAAGGATCAAGTGTTTGATCGCTTCAAATTATTTCATGCCATGGTAGAAAGAGAAACAGGGAAGAAGCTGAAGTGCCTGCGTTCAGACAATGGAGGAGAGTACACTTCTCGAGAGTTCTCAGCATATTGCGCCGCATATGGAATCAGACATGAGAAGACGGTTCCACGAAGTCCACAACACAATGGTGTAGCCGAAAGAATGAATCGGACCATTATGGAGAAAGTTCGTTGCATGCTGAGTATGGCTAAACTACCTAAGCCATTCTGGGGTGAAGTTGTGCTGACAGCTTGTTATCTTATAAACAGGTCACCTTCTGTTCCTTTAAACTTTGAAGTGCCAGAAAAGAAATGGTCAAGAAGAGATGTTTCTTACTCTCACTTGAAAGTGTTCGGGTGCAAGGCATTTGCACATGTGTCCAAGGAGTTGAGACAGAAGCTTGATCTCAAGTCAAGCCCATACATCTTCATCGGGTATGGTGATGAAGAATTCGGATACCGGTTGTGGGATCCCGAAGTGAAGAAAGTTGTACGAAGCAGAGATGTTGTATTTCATGAAAACGAGTTTCATGGGTGTGCTCCAATAATCCGCCAACAACATACTCCAGAAGACGAAGTGTCTGTATCATCAAACATTCCTCTCAGCGACGAGGAGATGCATGATACTACTGAACAAGAGAGTGATGGTTCAGTAGGTGATGATGATACTCACAGTGATGATATTTGATATTCGTGTAATTTTTGATTGTATATTTGTATTTTTAACTAGTTTTTATTAGTTGTAGTTGTGGAAATTACACACTTTTGGTGTAATATTTTATTTTCATTTTTATTTGTAATTTGTTTAGATTAGGATTATTCTGAGCTAAACAGGTCAAAGATCATCGAAGGGATCAAGATTGGACCTTAAAAGATCAAGGAAAGTGCAAGGAGACAAGAAAGATTTCGATTTGGAAAAAATACTCATGTACCCGGTCGGGTATTGCCTATACCCGATCGGGTATTCACTTGATTCGATTGTCCAAATCAAATCCGGGAACAAATGATCGTGGGAGCAAATTTTCGTGAAGATTTGTCACATACCCGATCGGGTATGCCGACATACCCGATCGGGTATGCCCAGAAAAGTGACTTTCTGGGCAATTTCCTAAGATACCCGATCGGGTATCCTATATACCCGATCGGGTATCAGACCCTGCAGCTCCCAAAAGCCTATAAATACACCCCTTTCCTTCACAATAAAATCACCAATTCACATATACTCTTTAGCTCAGTTTAGATTAGTGTTTTCTTTATATTTTCTATCATGTTTAGTCCCCAAATGAGGAGCTAAACTCTTCCATCTTGGTTTTGCTCCTTTGAAGCTTAATGAATTTGTAAGTTGTGAGTTATTATCTTTAATCTTCTTCCTTGAATATTAATTCCTCCTTTAAATACTATTTCTATATCAATGTTGGGGAGTGTTACTAAGATGACAATTAGTTAACATCTTGACATCAGTTATAGTAATAGTTATTTCTCCCTCTACGTTAATATCGGGGAGTGTTACTAAGATGACAATTAGTTAACATCTTGATATTAACTATAGTCGGATTCATCTTCTTTAATATTCTTTCTTGAATATTAATTAATTCCTATTCATATTTCATATTAATATTTTGAACATTACTTAAAGGATCAACTAGTTTTGTTTCATATATTAATTATTACTAGAATCAATCGGTTAATACGCTTGTTATTAATTCGATTCTTTCAATGGTAGTAAACTTGGGTTGTTAATGCATGCTTCTCATGATTAATAAGCCAAGGGGAATTAATTATATTGATTAAACCAATAAACCGCTTGTGTTGAGGTTATCAATCTCAATCGTTTTCATCTTGATTTTATTGCTACTATCAAGTTAATATACGGCGCTTGTTCTATATTGACTCGGTAGTAAGTTTTATTAATGAACGCGTCTCGTTATTAATAACTACCCTCGATGAACTGGATATACTCCTCGATTGAGTATTCGAGAGGAAGATAGTTAAAGATATAACCGGGATCGACGAACATTTCATTAAGTGGATAAAAGCAAAGCCAAGTCTTCTTCTCATTAATTAAACCACATAACTCGTTCATCTTCGTGTTTAATTTATTAAACCAAATCAAACTAAAACCCCCCATTTTGTTACTAATTCTATAAAAAGAAAAGTATTCCTTTCCCTGTGGATACGAACCTTACTACGCTATACTACGTATAAGTGTTGTATTGTATTATTATTTTGAGTGCACACTACGACAAAGTGCACGTCAAATTTGGCGCCGTTGCCGGGGAAAGGCAATTATTTTTCTTTTTATTTTATCTCATAAAAATAAAAAAAATAAAAATCTTAGTTTTCTATTTTCTGAGCTTTCATGAGTATATGGATACCAACACATCATCCCTAGAGAGTCAAATTTCCGACTTGACTTCTCTAATAAAGGAGTTTATTTCATGTTCAAAATCTCAAGATGTCCATACATGCAACATTTGCATGTCACACAGGCATCTTACGGATTTTTACCCATTGCTTCAAAAAGAATACTTTGAACAAAGGAATGATGTTTGTTTCCAAAAGAGGTATGATTCATTCTCCAACACATATAACCCATACTCAAGTTCTTATTCCAGCATGTCCACTGAAGACATGATCCGAGCTCTCACTATCAATGTGACGAATATGCAACAAAATATGTCACAATGCCCGCAAGAAACAGTGTCCAACGAACAGAACTTGGACAATCAGTTGAAACAAATGCCAAGCATTGTGAACCACATGGGCGAGGAGGAGGAAGAAGAGGAGCTTACGGAGAAAGCTCAACCGGAGGAGGAACCTCAAAACTCAACTCCACCACCGGCCATTCCTGAAATCATGCCACCATTTCCTGAGACTCTAAGGGAAACACAAAAGGTGGAGAACGACAAAGACATCTACGAAATCTTCAGCAATTGTGAGTATCATTTAGATTTCTCTTCGTTCACAAATATGCAGGGAATAACGGTGGAGTTACGCAAACATTTCATACTCCCTCTTATACCACCCATATCAAAACCCCTTCGATTGACCATGCTAAGTGAAAATCATGGACCCTCACTCTTACAATATGAAGTGATAGAAATCCGGATATTTGATCCTGGAAAGATTGTCAAAATAAAGGGTCGACAAATTGAGCCTTTCTATAAGAGTCACTCGGGTAAAAATGTGAAGAAGAGGGATCATCACGATCCAAGCCTAAACGACTGAAATTAAAAAAGATGGTGTCGTGCCACGACGTTAAATAAGGCGCTTTTTGGGAGGCAACCCAAGTGAGGTACATCATTGTGTGTTTATTTTATTTTTTTTTCTTTTTCTTTCCCCTACACAACCTCCTTTTCACCTCTTTTCATCTTTAATCTTTCAAAACACCATCCAATTCCACCCCAATCACCCCAACCCTCATAACCATATCCTTCTTTCTTTAAAAATCTATCCAAATCCTCCACCAAACCCCACACACAAAACAATAATAATCTTGTTCTCATCACTTTCCTCTTACTCCACATACCCTCTAATCCATAAACTCTTACACTCACCCCTCTCCCAAACCACAATTTTATATCTTCAAAAAAAACCCAAAAAAAAAAAAGTGATGGCGATAACGAGCACTAGGGACAGTGCTCCGAGCTAAGTGAGGGGGGGTCAGTCATTGGTACACAATTAATTTTTCTACCTTGTAACTTGCATTATTTTTTTTTCACAAAGAAAAAGAGAAATGCTAGTTAGGTTGAAAACCCAAAAATGGGCAATCTAAGCAAAAAGGGCTTATAAAAAAAATGAGTGAGTTGGAAAGGATGGAAAAACAAAAAGAGATGCTAGGATGAAAACCTGAAAAGGCTCCTAGGCAAAATGAGAGATATGAGAGATATATTTGTTTTTGCAGAACATCATTTAATCTCTTGACGGAAAAGAAGAATAAAAGAGGTGAAGAAAAAAATGAGCATAGAAGGCCATGAAACCCAAGAAGATATTATTTTTTTTTATTGAGCTGAAAACTCAATGTAAAAAAATGTTTTATCCTTGGTGGTCTTTTGCTTTTTCTAGTTGATTGTTGAACTTTTGAGGATTTGGAAGTGTTAAACATTTGACTTTACTCGAGGACGAGTAAAGAAGCTAAGTGTGGGGGAGTTGATATTCGTGTAATTTTTGATTGTATATTTGTATTTTTAACTAGT